GTTGTTTGTTCCGAATTGAGCGCAGTTAGATGTGCCCGCCCCATTTCGTATCCTAACTGTTGCACTGACAGTGCTGTTTTCATTTAATGCAGCGGATAAATTCATCCTATTCTTTTTATCTTTTCATGGCTGCTATTTTGAGTGGAAGCGTCTTGCCGTGCATGTGGATCTTCTTATTACTTGTGCGTTTGTGTCCCCTTGTGCTTACGTTGTCTGGGCTAGCCTGTTATATGGCAAGACAGGGGTGAGTATAGGTCCATAAATAGGGTACGTTTCTACCATCTGGTGTTTTTGAACCACACTGATGTTCAAGTAAGACGAATGTTTTCCAATTATCGGGCAGGTGAGAGGTTTAGGAGACGCAAAATGATTTAACGAATATGGTGAAATGTCTGGGCCACCGTACTTGAAGAAATATGATGATACTCCCCCTATGTCAGCGCTACTAGAACTTTTAGGTGTTTTAGTAGCTGAGCAAATATTAGAGTATGTGAATTCTAGGGTGCTTATTGTCGCTTATGAGAGAGAAGAATGGGTTTTTAATGGTTGGGACCACATTGGAGTCACAGGAAGGAGTTATGGGTTCGAGGTGACTAACCGCAAGTGTGCTACTGAACACTTATCGAGTTACTGAAATTCCTACTGTCGTGGACAAGAAGAAAAAATTGTTTTATGCACTTGGGTCGCTTCTTAAGGAGTGTGTGGAAAGCATAGACTTTATGCACCATATCTTTCCTGCACTACGGTTCCTTTTCAGCACTTTCAATTCCATGACGTTTTACCAACAACTGCATGTGCGATCAGCTGAAACCACCACGCTAAGTAGCTTGTAAGCGCAGTAACGCAACCCCTCAGAAATCCAAGGAAGCAGCAGGACCATAGCATCAATCATCTCACCCGTGACAACAGGGTTCACACTGACACACAAGAAATAGATTTGGCACTTAGTAACCTGTTTGATTCTATTTACTTTCTTGTTTTGTCTTAGAAGCCACGGACATGGGAAACCGGTACCAAGGCAGATGTTTGTCTGGTTAGTCACTGAACTATACAGATGCGTCAAAGACTTCGGCCATTTGTAGCCCAATCATTGAGTATCTTGCGGCCCTGATGCCTCCTCGGGGTGAAAAAATAACTGAAAATGATCTAAACACACGAACACTCCACGCATTTTCGTCTCGCGATTTGTAGCTTTCTGGTCCACTGTCACTTCTATGGTGTCCACAAACCGGCTTCTTTCACGTCGAATTTATGACGTGAGAATAAAAGTATTTTGTTCACTCGAAAGTACAAATTCAGCCCAACATCGACCAGCCCTCAGTTCGTACACTAAAATCTATCCGCACCATGGTGTTCTGCTCTGCAGACTTCAACCAAGCGATTCAAGCATTTAAAAGCTAAAGCAGTCCAGGCGCGCACAGAATAGCAGTGTTTCTTCAAACTTGATAGCCCTGACACCTCAACGGCGTTGCTCAAGCAATGCTCAAACCTCTTCACATCCCGATCCGCGGAAGTCATGCTGCACCACACACAGAAAAACGTCCGACGCGAAAGATGCCGTGATTAACTGCAGAATAACAAATATTGAACCGGCAGCTTTTAGAACTATGGAGGAAACAGCTGGGGAAAAATTTCGACGACAGATACCAGAAGACAACTTTGTCACGCCCGGTTAGCATGGCTTGCCGAAACAGCTTCTCTTCACGACTTGCCAACCTCGACCTAGTTGACTGCATAACCACCAGCTTCGGTCAACGTTTGTTAGTTCTGGTTGCTTACTTCAACATCCCCAGAGCCTTTTGCCGCGTTGAACATTTTCTCCCACCACGAAACTTAAAGCTCAATAAATGGAATATCTGGTTGGGCCGTTCTAAAGCAGTGAGAACTGATTCACATCTTCCGAAACTTATTCTCTTTATCCTGTCGCAGATATAGCGAAGATCTGATCATGGTGTAAAAGATCCTTATAAGTGACTTTAGACCTGGTTTATCTTCTTTCTTCCTTCATGCTATGTCGTGACACCCCACAGGACGTGGTAGTAGGATACAAAAGAAAAGGACTAACATAGTCTCCGCAGGATCGATGACGTTACAAAAACACCAAAGATGGATAGCATATTTTGTTAACGGAAGTCCGGTTGTTTTGGTCCGAAAGCCAGTAAGGTCTTGATGGTTCCAAACTAACGTTTTCCAGACAAATTCCCGCGTTCTACTGTATAGTTCCCGAACTTTAATGAGTAACGCACAGTCAACCACTGAATCAACACTATTAAAAAAATTGTGGTGAATCGGTGGTAGATTCGTGACGAATCTATGATGCTATTAGAGCAACAACAAGTTATATCAGAACTACGAAAATACCTCAACGATACCGTTAGGTAGCCTTACAATCTAAACTGTCTCGGTTACAAGTGCGTACCATGCAACAAAAAGCGGTTAACACATACAATTGCTGCCTTCCTGAGAATCGATAAGAATATTCCCGACAGGGAGAGATCAAAACTTTGCCTACCGGAAAAAATCAATAAGGAAACATCTGCAGCCACTCAAAGAGTAAGTGGTCAAACCACAGCACAACTTTAAGTTGAACCAAAAACAGGCGCAGTAAAATAACGTCACATCGTCAGCAGCCCAGCATCGCACCATAGGAAAGTGAAGCATTCATGATAAGTCTCAATCAAACAAAGACGATCAATGGGTGTAAGGTCACAGAAGAGAGTCAGATGACAAAGTACCACTACGTCGGCTAGAGTCAGATGCACAGTATCCATGATGAGGGTGAAAATGTCAAAAGAAATGTCAATACTGTTAAATGGGGTGATCGGGAGGGATTTTCAGATCATTTTTCCGTTGAATGCATGGCTCACAACTCACACGTGAGCTTCTCTTGGTCCCAAAGCTATGATATCCCTAACAGCGCAAATATGCAGCCCGTATTTTCCACTATCCATGCCTCATATCACCAAACCTACCTACTGCTCAGCTAAAGACACCACAACCAGTAGCGAAGCCTGAGGTAAAATATGTGCTGAACTAGATCGCCATCCCCTAGCATATCTGCCAATGACAACGGCGAGCAGGACGCTTTACACTCTTGGACAGCAGAACCGGAGAGGCATTAGGAAAACTGTGATATATGTCAGCATGCCGACGGACCAACAGCCGGTAACAAGCCAGCTTCCTTCTCCAAATACCCCTCATATCTTACCATCCCAACTATCAGCGTGCGATCCTCGACAAGCAAAATTTCGAACCTTCAAGCTGTGGAGCTATTTAAGAGTCGGAGTCCCATCGTTCGAAACCTAGGGGGACCGAACCCAGTGTATTTCAGGGTGGCATGCTATGTCCCCCGCTTCCCACCGTTCCCACCAATGATCGCTGTGACTGTTTCTGGCATGGTAAATTGTTTCTGTTTGGCGATAACCCTAAGGTTGTCTACAGGCTTTTTCGGGGGTTAATTGTTGAATGTTGTGCGCGAAAAGCCAGCTCATGGGTGCATGGGAAGGTTACCCTCTTAGTTAAAGCACTACACTGAGGTGTGGGTACATCCAGCTGACGAGTCTCGGGTGGGACGAAACGCGCGCCCTGGATTCTTCTGCCAGCCACAGCCAAACAAATTACCTTGGTTAACATTCGAGCAACGTCGAGGCATCTGCATAGGAGCCCGCATGCCAATGGGGGCCGAACAACCCGATCCAGTAAAACAACGGAGAATTCCAAGTATGTCAATAGATAGGAATAGCCACATAACCTCAGCGGCCAGTTAGCCTTAGGCTCTTACCGATCCTACTGGTTCCCGGTGGTTAATAGGCTGTCAAAGGTTTCAATTCTTTTACTAGTACCGCTTCTTGTTTCTGTGAATAACCTAACTGAGCCTCTTATTTCTCATTCAGTTTTTTATGCTGATGGTCTGAATTTTTGAAGAGAATAGTGGAGCTAGAAGAAATACTTGTCTTCCATCAGGATCTGTCTAAGTTCCTAAAATTCTCTTCCCGAATGTGAGGAAGTTTAGGATAATCGGCGAAGAAGAATATGGCTGTGATCGTGATTTTTACTCTCCGTCAAAAACAAATAGTTCTCACGAAAACACTGTAAAGGTTTGTTGGCTACACTTAGTGGCAGACTGGAAGCCTCCATTTATTGTCACCTTGCAGCGCACAATGCCCGTGAAAAATTGCTTTGCTTCTCCCAAACTTGAAGGCAAGCAACCTCTGGGACCATTGTATTCGTAGTTATTCCCCAGAAAGTTATGAGAAGTGCTGCGATTCCTGGGCTAGTTTCAGGAAGAGCCAAGAAAATAGTCATTGCACTACGGTGCAGACCTTATCTGAAACACTTAATTTCCCTCAGGCTGCACCAAGATTACTACGGATGGATCTGAGGCGATATAATAATAGCATATCATATCTCCAATACCCCTATCATCCTAACATGTTGCTCTTATACTTTAGTCAGAAATCTTGTTTTAACAACCATCTGCTGAGCATAATGAGTGATTGAGCCCGTACGAAGTTCCGTGACCGTTTTTTCAACCAAGGTGTGTAAGCCGTAGGATTTAATTTCCTGAAAGTGTTGTTACAGGTCCCTTTCCGACGAATTTGAAAGACAGTTAGTCACTGGCCTGGACTTCTGTCCTATTTCTGTCCTGTCTTTGCTCCTGGAGTTTCTCGTTGTGTCAGAGAAAATGAGTTGCAGCGCTGTTGTTAAACCGCTGAATAACCAGTTACTGAATAGTTCTTGCTCTCCAAAGATTTTTAAGAGAAAAAATATACCCCTTCAAGACTGCCGTATAATCCTAGGAACCACCATCCTCTACTTCTACAACATGAAGTTCGAAGTTTGACAAGAGCTAGATTAAAGAACAGCGCCTGAAGGTTCTTGCCTGCCACGACAGTTGTTTCTGCTGATAGCTGTGGACTGGTTGATTATGTTCCAATTTTGTTTTACTTGACAAATATGTACAGCCTTGTAGTATCTCATTCCGGGCAGAAGTGACCTTAATGTGCCCGCGTGCTTCACCTGGACTGGATGTTGGGCCTCATTTTCTATCTGCCATTTCAGCGTTGCCACTTAAGTAAGCTGTATTATGTCGTTATCTCTTTATTCTCGCATAACTGGTGTTATTCTTCAGCCGTTTTGTTGGATTCTATGAAAAAAATGATAATTGCAACATTCAGTTTTAACAAAATAGTTTCACTGGATTATGTTCGGTACTACGAATATGTAGCTATTAAAAGTTTAATACTATAGCTGGTTAAGAATGATCCTTTTTGGTGCAAATGTATGCTGGTTTATGACTCATAGTAGTTACTGGTGAAAAAAATCACCAAGGCAAGTACATATGTGAGTAGCCATATAGCTATAGTTATCTGCTGAATAGGTGAATAGTCGGAAACTATATTGATCAGGCATTTGGAAACCTCATGTCATATATCGCGAGCCATATTTATTTATGGACGCCAGTTAGTAGATTTCGTTGTTTACCACTCTATGTGGGCTAAAAATGTCAGATTTTTAGTTTTTGTCACTGCTGTGACGCAGCATATCTTAGTTGCTTGGTTCACCAGTAGTTATTTTACTACATACTATGTAAATACCCTTGAAAGTTTGCAAAAATCTGCGTATTGCACTTTTTTTTTGGCGTTCATCTATGATATGTTTTCCACTTGACATATTTTTGTTGTCGTATTACATTTATGTTGATTTTGAAAATCTTTGGGGATATGTGGTTTAACTTTCACACATTAAATTTATTCGGGTGTTTTCCATTTATCCCTTCCATACAACCTCGTAATAATGATGATCACTTTATTCCTATCTTTTTTGATTTTATGGGGAATTATCAGCGTGTAATATTGCAAGAAAAATAAACTGCTTTACAGAATCTCAAATAATGTTTGTTATAGATTTTTAAAGCTTGTAAATAATATTAGTAATGATAATTACTCGTAAGCGGTTGGAATATTGGAGCGTAGTCTTATATAATTCCTCCTCTTCTTCCCTGAAGAAATGGAAGGACGGCCAGGACTACAGGGATGCTCAGTACCAGATAAAATTACTAGATGGTTGACTGCCTGAAATAAAGTTTGTCAATTACAGTGCCAATCACTCGGGCCAGATGTCACCAATTACCCTAATCACAGCTTTCAAAGCCCTATACAAAATAGCACAGGCCATTTTTTAGACCAGGAAAGATTGACGGGAAACAATAAAGAAAAATAGACAGAATACGATATTTAAGTAAATGGTAAAGGTAAGAGCTGTTATGCTAGAGATTCTCAGCTGCCTTGTGTAGTAATCTAAACGAGGAATTTTCTTCGATGTCAACAAGATCTGAAACTACCAACAAAGATCAGAAGACAAACTAAATCCAAGGTAGGTAACACTCGGTTCTCTTTAAACAGTAATACTACAGGAATCATAAAGCCGAAGTAACTCACAAAATGTTGTTTACGCCTTAGGCTTAAGTTATTATTCTGACACTTAGAAGCATTCAGCTTGAGACTATTTCAGTAAAACCACTGGCCAATTTCAGATAAAAAAAACTACTTAATTGATAGCAATCTAAGTGAGAGATAATTAGCACAGAAACCATCAAGTCATCAGCATACTTAACAAAACTAGTTTCAACAGAATAAGGTAAGTCATGTAAGAATGAAGAAAACAGAAACGGAGAAAGTATTGCTCCTTGAAGCTTACCGGCTTCAGTAAGTGAAAAAGTTAAGCTCTTACCTTTATAAAAAGTATGCTGTTTCCTTTTAGAAAAATAATGTAGCCAGTTTGTAACTCAAAGCTTAGCATGAGCACTAGCAAGCTTATTTAACAAGAATCATCTAGAAACAGAGTCAAAGGTAAATGTATAATCTACGGAAGCACAGGGAATATGCTTAGCACCTTGGTCTGGATTAGAAAAAATATTATAATACAAGGCAGTGGCAGCGTCTAAAGTACTTCTGTGTTTGCAAGCAAGTTGCTTCAGATATCTAGAAGCCACCAATGAAGGTTCAAGCACAAGTAGAAGTAAATTCTCCATTTTCTTCAAAAAGGGAGAGGTTATAGTCGTGAATCTAGGCTTTACACCTGATCCAGAAGATGACTTAAGTACTCAAACACAACTTCAATCTGATTCGAAGCAGCAAGTATTGTGTTTTTGGAAAACGACACATTTAAGATATCTGTAAGAGTATGACATAAAATATCTACACATTTTCTAAATATAATACCTTGAACATCAGGACCTAGGTTTTGGGATGGACTTAAGAGTTTGAAGACATTTAAAAACGTCACTTATATTAAAACCAAAAAACAACTATTCACTTGTCTATAGATACCAAGACAGATGAAATCAGCTTGCTGACGTATAAATGACTAGTTCGATGCTCAGTCATCAGACAGACAGACCAAATCAACTCTTACACAAGTGAATTGGTTCAGGTTGCCACACTTTACAGTAGTATGCAAAGAAAAGGTGCATAGAAAAGTGATATCAAACTAGATGAAGTTGTGAGAGAATAAACAATTTGAGGATGAAGATTAGTGCAAATATTGAAGCTTCAGAGGATGTCATAGGGTGAATACATTTGCGCCAGTAAGCTGTTTGAATAATTTGTATCTATTGGGAGAGTTCTTATACGACAGAAAATTCTGATTGTTTGTCGTATTCAGACGTCTTATTTCAGACTTAACTAGACAGTTGTCTTTCAACAGCAAGATAATCTTTCAACTTGTACAATGTTTCCTTTTCTTGTCGAAGCTTGTTGAGGTAAAGAGAAGAAAGTTTGTCGTCTCATGATTGTTTAAGCATGACAGTATATATCAAGACAGAATCTGAGATAGCTCGTGATATTAGTGATAGTGTTGTCTGCAAATTCATCAGAGTATATATCCCAGTCCGTTTCTTTCAGCATACTTCTCAAACACAACATTCTGTCTTGTGAATAACACCTGTATTAGGACTTTCTTGGAAAGTTTTTCATAGGCCTTCTTGTGTAATTTGTCATGCATTTTAAACAAACACAGTATGCCAGTCAGAATTCAGCAGTGAAGCTGGTTTACTAATTTTATACATGTGAAAGTCATTCACGAACACTAGTGTGTTTTCAAGACGAGTGGAAAAGTTAACCAGATTTTCATGACCCAGTTGTATGAAGAAACTTCAATTAAATGAACTAAATTCTCTACAGACTATAGGAGTTGTTATTATTATTACTAGAACACAAACAGTACAGCAAGGGTATCACAAATGCACCCCACAAAATAGTTTATTAACAACGTGAAGTTATAAACGATGGAAATTGGATAAGTAAGAAAGAAAGTAAGGATAGCATAATTAGAAAGGTACTTCAGTAAGGTACATTCGAAACAAATTATTCCTTATCTTTCAGCCGCAGAAGATGGGAGGAAGCTTTAGAATGACCACCAATAGTTTCTGTTCTCAGCCATTTCTGATAACGTCTCAAGCCACTGAGTTGCGTGGTCTTTCGAACCCCATCCAAAGAGTCATGATGCACCAACAGATCCCGACCCAATACAACTATCCTTTATCCCACAGTCCCATGTCATACACTGACCACCCCTCCGCTTTTCCCACCCAGTCCCAGGTCTAGCAAACAATGAACGATGTGGGAACCGTTGGGATGACATGTGTAACATATGTCTAAGCCACTGAAGCTGGTGTTTCCAGATAACTTCACTTATTGAATGACGATCTCCATAATGCCCAAACACACGCTTTCGTACCTCAGGATTACTTTCATGGTGTTGCCGCCGGAAACGAGAAATCCTACAAAGAAAACGATGAGCGAACGCACAGAGTTGTCACACATCCTAAGCACCGAGAGTCCAGGTTTCACAGGCATATGGTAGGACCGCTGGTGCCGAAGTGTTGTAGACCCGACCTTTTACGGTCAGCCTAGTGTCGTGACGGCGCTAAAGGTGTCCCAGATTGACGTATGCCACTCTGGTTTTCGATATGCTGTTAGAAATTTCACCACAAAGCTCAATCGGCAGTCACACAACTACCCAAATATACAAACTTTTCGACTACTTCCAACGGGTGACTATCGAGACTGAGCTCAGGTACAAGCTCCTGCCAATCTTGCAAAAGTACTTTGGATTTCACCGATGCGAATCACATACCATACTTACGAGCACTAATCGCCAACTGATTAAGTGCAACTTGAGTAGTCTACATGTTATCAAACAGTAAGACGATACCGTCCGCATATTTAAAGTCGAATAGCCGTTCTTCTGGTAGTAGATCTACAACGCCACCATGCACCTCCTTCAGAGCTACCTCAACAATGTCATAGATGGCGAAGTTAAAGAAGTATTGAAAAATGGGGCAACCCTACCTAACCCCACTGACAGTCTGGAACAATGGAGACAAGTGGTTGTATCCCCTCACTCAACCTAAGGTATTTCTATATATGGCTTTTAGGATGCTAATAAACTCCGACACGCCTCTCTCCAACACACAACTCCAGAGTATAGCTTTTTCCAACGAATCGAAGGCAGACCTTAATGTCAAGAAACACATTGATTGGTAGCCTGCAAAATGTGTGGCTATGTTTGAGCATTTGGGGTAGGGTAGACACATGGTCATACCTCCACGGCCTGAACAAAACTCGGCCTGCTCTTTGCGAATCATTTACTCACGTGTTTTGCAAATTCAGCAAAGTATGGTAGCACCCAATATTTTTGATGTGACTGGTGAGAGACTAATGACCCGTGATTGTAGCATATATTACACAGACCTTTTTTAAATATGGACATAACGACGGGCTCAATCCGGAGAGATGGGACACACTCAGTCTGCCATACCTTCTCAAACAACTTAGTCAGTTTCCTGACTAGAGTCATTTTTCCGTTCTTAAAAAGAGCCGGGGATAGGTTGTTTGTGCCGGTTGCCTTGTGGCATTTAAGAACTTGGAGTTCCTTGTGGACCTCCGCTTTGCTAGTTGGGTCAGTTTTAACTGGTCATGATGCACGATACATTGAAGCTGACAATGATGGGGCCGATGGACAGCTAGACTACTTTTCGAAGTGCTCGACCCGCGTTCCAGGCATTTCTGAAGATTGTTTATCGGCGTGCCATCTACCTCACAGATTGTCTAACTTATATCTGGCTGCCAGTGGCTCGTATGAGCTGGAACAGCTTCTGACTGTTATTATCAGATAGAGTGGTTGCTTCCATCTCGCTCGTTCATTCTGACCAACAAACGTCACTGTCCCTGCATAAGCGTTGTGTAATCTTTCACGTAAGTGACTATTAAGTGATTGATCTTGGCTTCTAACGTCGCTCCACCTACTTTGATCTTGGAAAGCGGACGGTATCATAAGCCTTCACACAACATGTGACTCGAAAAGTCACTCATGAGTAATTTGTTTAACCTGGTAAGTTTAAAGAATATTACAACTGTGTATCTTAACCCTATTTGTTTGAGCTTCATTTCAATGGATCAAAGAACAACTAGTAAAATGAAAATACACTCATGAAATAGAATGAAAAATTATTCTACTACGGGTGTCTGTACTAACAATTAAAGCATACCTGTTTCATGCAAGTAATGATACGACTGGAATATTTGAATATTGAGAGGTAGGGTTTAGTTTCAAGTACGAGTCCATGGCATGAAAGTCAAAGGCTGAAACCAGCAATCTACAACTCTACTGGAACAAAAACCTCTGAACTTGTATCTGATGTCCGTATCTCAGTATCGAATAAATTTTCAGGATGAAGTGCGGTTTGTCAAGGTTAACTCATACTAACGGTTTCTTTTGACTGAGAAAGAAACTGAAGTTTTATTTAGAAAACTACCTTTTTTGATTTAAAATATCTCTTGTTTAAAATCTGCTTGATTTGATCGAAATGATTTGTAATAATTTTATTTTTGTAAAAGTACTTTGAATTCACTTCGACGCAGTTGAAATTCGTTTGTACAACCTTGTTTGATCTAGTACATCATGAGTTGTAAAGTTGAAGTACTTTTTCCTTCAATGAATTCTAACTTTTAGAATCGGTTGGATTACAGAATAAAACGAAGGGCAGACCTTGGTTTGGATGCTGCCATCTACAGGAGACCGACACATTCTAATAGGTGTCCAAACTTCAGGCCGTCTTATCCAATGTCAGTTAAGGCAGGTTTAATCAAATGTCCAAATCATAGACCTAAAAACCTCACTAGTCATTGTTAGGACTTAAACAAGGAATTGGAACACATAAAAGAAGCGTTAATAATTAATTATTCTTTACAGTTTATTAAGAAATTCGTAGGAAAACATAAGAAACAAAATAATAACGGTAGTAAGAATACAAATAATGACGACAACACGAGTAGAAATAAGTTCAAAGCCTCTGTTGTGTTACCCTATAAGCAAGTAAGTAAGTAAGGAATTTTACGTAGGATTCTCAACAACGCCGGAATTAGGGTGGAATTTAAACCCACAAACTCATTCAGAGATAGGTTTTTCCAGCTTAAGCATCCGATAGATCCACTCAAGCAAATTAATCTAACCTACCGAATTCCATGCAGTGACTGTGAGATCAAGTACATAGGTCAAACTAGCCGGTTGGGGTCAGTCAGCTTAGCGAAACATAGAAATTTAGCTAAATACAAGATGATAAAAATAATGGAGAATATTTGTAGCTCAGGTGGATGATCTTGGCTGTATTGTGTTCTCTGAGCTGGGTTGTTTAATCGATATGGAAAACAAGGAATATGAGGCAACAGGACTACATTGATATGATTATGAGTAATAGTTTATACTCGAAACATCGTCATCAAGTGAATAATACTCTATCACTGTGCGCTGTATACCAAATCAACCAATGTAATATGGGATTACATTCTATCACAGTATCCAAGTTTTACACTTCTGTTAAAGAATCAATGAAGTCCTATTATTTTGGCAGGTTTTTAGTTTATGTTTACCGATATTTGGTTTTTATTCTCATGTAGAGTGACTTAAACCTTTAATAAATTAACTTTTGGTCTAATGAAAATAAGTATTTGACTTTGTATGGATGTTTCAACTCACTAAAAGGTTGATGTATATATTTACCAAGTATAAAGATAAAATATCTCTTGCATCCGAATTCCAGTTATCCTCTCTGTTGAATTGGAGGGTTATATAGTAATGCTAGATAGTGTATTAATGTATCGGTATCAAAAGTTTGGGCCACTTATTAATCTATTCTAGAACATACTGAAAAAAATAGTTGACTAGAAATTGTAATGTAGCTTTTGAAGAAGCCATAACTTTGATGATAATACTTTTTCTAACTCGAGTAATTGATTTGTAGCATTATTATACTCAGAATTTTTGCCTATTTTTGTCTATGGCTAGAAATACGTCCATGACTCTCCATGTATATCTTGGGGAAACATTATCTAATCGTTTTGTAAGATAATATACTTATTCATATTTACTGAAGATCCTGTTTATTTATGCCCATTTGTAAATCTTGTCAATATTTCAGATGTCTCTTTGTACACATGAAGAAGCCATATCAATACATGCTAGTTCTTTGGATCTTTCAAAGTACTTGTTGAGTCATGGAGTTCCTGAAGCAGTATCAAATATATTTGTACATAACATCGTCGATGGTCTTTCATTTTGTCTTCTTAATGAAAAAGATCTAGATGATATGGGTGTTACACAGATTGGACTACGTAAGCGTATTTTGTTCCTGTCTTCTGTTTGGCGATGTCAAATTAAAAGGGAGAGTTCTGTAGAACAATTACTACGACACTTTGATGAGGAAAATTTCTCAATTGACCTTTTGAATAGTAAGGTATCCAATGAACGTGTTCCTCAAACATCATGTGGTGATGACAACTCAGATTGTACTATGAACAGTTCTTTTTTAAATGATACTAATTATGAAGTGGTTGAAGAAAACTCGAAATCATGGAAACTTATTATTAGTTGTTTGTATTTTCTATTTTCTACATGTGTCACCTCTTTTGTTATGGTTTTGGCGCATGAACGCTTACCTGAAATATCAAAGTATCCTCCATTACCGGATTTATTTTTAGATAATCTTCCTCATATAAGTTGGGGATTTACTGCAGCCGAATGGGTTGGTGTTATTTTGTCCGCTATTTGGATAACAATTTTGATTTTTCATAAATATCGATGGATACTTGTACGTCGTTTCTTTGTACTTATGGGTACAGTATTCTTATTGAGATCAATTACAATGATTATCACTTCACTTAGTGTTCCGGGTAGACATTTAGCTGAACACTGTAGTCCATATATGGTGAAAAATCAGAATGAACGTCTTAAACGTGTACTTGATATATGGTTAGGAATGGGTATGTCTATTAGTGGGATACAAACATGTGGTGATTATATGTTTAGTGGTCATACTACTTGTCTTACTCTTCTCAATTTTTTTATCACTGAATATTCACCAAGAAATTTTCAATTATTGCATACATTCTCTTGGGTGTTAAATCTTTTTGGTGTATTTTTTATTCTTGCTTGTCATGAACACTATTCTATTGATGTATTCATTGCTATTTATGTATCATCAAGATTATTTTTATATTATCATTGTTTAGCTAATAGTAATATTCTTCATCAACCAGGTAAAGAGCGTACAATGATCTGGTTTCCACTTTTCTCTTTCATGGAATATGATGTTAAATCTACTGTGCCGAATATTTTTGAAATTCCTTTCAGATATAAAAATAATCTTAGTGAAACTAATAATAATAGTGATGGTAATAATGATCTCTGTGATAAAACGATATCAAATACTGATAATAAGCAATTATTTCACTGTACATTTCATAAAGATTTTAATTCGTCTTTGGCATTAGATAATCCAAAACGTCTTAAGTTTCGAAATAATTCGAAGGGTAAACATAAACGAAAAGAAAATTGTTAGGTGATAATGCTACTACTAGTATTGATGATAATACCTTTAAGATCTATGGTAATCCTCTTTTTCTAGTCTCCTTCTGCTCATTATTTTTTAACAAATAGAGTTTACTTCTGGATTGTTCTGTGAACACTTTATTTTTTTAGTTATGAATTTGACGATAGAGAAGCATTTTCTCTGTGTTATGACATTCTGTTACTATTATTTTGCAAGTGTTTTCTTTTTTGGTACAGTCTTATGTAAAAATGTAAAAACCAACAGGTAACTCAATTCATTTTCCTGTTATATCTATGATTTTCTTCGTTGCATAATTTTTCGTTTGAATTAGTCACCGTTTAATGCCTAACTTGTATAAAGCAATAAAACACAAAGAATTTCTTTTGTGATTCTTACTTTTTTCTTTTAGACTAGGTTACTACTACGTTCTGTGGCCGATGGAATCTCTGCATGGATACGAAAGGCTCTGCCAGCTTTTACCAACTTACGCCACCTGTGGCGCTTCCGTGATATCCGATTGTCTATTAAGGGCGGTGTGTACTGCACAGCAGTCTGCTCTGTTCTACTGTATGGCTCTGAAACATGGCCATTGAGGGTGGAAGACATGAGAAGGCTTCAAGTGTTTGACCACCGTTGGCTTCGTAATATAGACCGTATTCCGTGATGTCACCACGTGAGTAACGCGGAAGTCAGGCGTAGAGTTCTAGGGAGTAGAGGTAAATCAGTTGACACGGTTGTGAACCTTCATCCACTGAGATGATTGGGATATGTGTTACGCTTGCCTAGTCGCCGCCTGCCTCGTCACACAATGTTGGCCGAAGTAGGTTCAGTTTGGAAAAAGGCTCGAGGCTGCCAGACTAAAACATGACATCAGTGTATGAAGTTTTTGAATGTTGGTTTGAGCCATGTGGGGCTATGCAGACTAGATGGTTAGGGTCCACGGGACAAGAGAAACCAGTGGTTGGAGACTCTAGGTGATCACATGGCTGAGAACCGATGTCAGTGGCGCAGATGTATACACACACAAACCTCATCTTAACGACGCTGTACCGAATCTCACCACTTTCTCATTCTTCGTTTCCCTCTTTTCGTACTTTATATTCCTTTTGACTGAATTTTCTTATCTTCATCTTCCACTTCACCGCCTTTTTACTTGATGTACTGATATGAGCTGTGACAACTCGGAATGATACACAGTAATGCCTGGTTCTACGTTGCTTTGGATGGATGGAATATTAGGTTCATCGGAGATGTCATCTTAGAAAGTTGGTGTTATGGAATCTTGTTTACAGATGTTTATGATTTACCGGTTTAGGCATTCCATTTTGTTAGCTATAAGGGATGTTGGTGTCTTCCTTTAGTTATAACTAATATTTTTCTTTTTCAATTCATATGATGACATCTTAAGCATCTTTCTTTAGTTCGGAGATAATAACCATCATTCCACGGTTCATTGACTTTCTGTCCGTGATTTAACATATTCACTTTTGGCTTTTTATTAATTATACCCTTAAATTTACAACGCTTGAAGTTGAAGCATTTCTATCTGAGAGAAAAAAGTTAGTTATCCTTTAAAATCCTATGTGTATGCTTACAGCTGAGATGATTAATTTATCTGCTTGAAAATGTCCTTATTTAGAAGCAATTTCAATTATTTATGCATTCGTTTTGCAACAGAAGGACCATTTCCTGCTTTCCTTGCAAATTGTTAAGCTGAGTTGTGCATCATAGAATGAATAAAATGTTTTAATGGCCAATGTAAACTTCCGATTGATTATTCATGTGAGAAACTGAAATAAATAATATTCATCATGAAATGACATCAGTTGGAGAAACATTGAAAACCTGGGAGCATTGGATATCTATTTTTTTTCCTAGTACGAGACTTCAGCAGCGCACATACATGACCCTATCAAGGATCGAACCCAAGACCTTCAGGTTCCACCGCGAGCACGTTACTATTGAGTCACTGGGTCAGAATCCAGTGATCCATATTTCATACTTCTCTCAGTTCACAATGTAGCGCAACCGCCGTTGAGTAAATGTTCTTGATGGGTGCACACTGTTGAGGGTCTCATACTAAGACGAAACAGCTGTCCAGTGCTAACAGTTTTCCAATGTTCCCCCAATTGATGTCAGCCCATGATGAATATCAACCTGAAAACAATAAATCCCCACAAACATCCCAATCGAATTAAAATAAGTGAAGCATAGTGGTCTGCTAAGGTATTCAGTTAATTTTATGTTGTTTTTTGAAATTATTGTTACTTTAATACATGAGCGAGCGTGCTGAGAAACAACTTACTTCACAAAGCTGCCTATTTTCAGTAAATGTATATTGGAAACTATATACTAATCTTTTAGTCATACTGTAACAAAGTTGGCTTCTAATCAGTATCGAAATGGGACCTAGCATCATCGTGGACCCCAATCTTGAAGTTTACATTTCCTTACACTCTCCAGACTAACATAAATGGATTTAATGGACTGATTCGGCCCGATTCGGTCTATCGTCGTCTTTCAATCAGTGGGTCATGGGTTCTAACACCACTCCACCTACCATGGTTTGGACAGCCTGGCGGTATCGTCAGCCCTCACCCTACTTCATGAGTGTGCAAAAGGTTGCTGAGATCACTTCGTTTGTTCGCTGATTCTTTATATCACTCTATTTTATGGTTGTGTGTCAGTACATGCGTTAGGATATGAGTTTTTTCCGAAATTATGTCTCATTGCAGTTTGTCATTTAAAATTCAGCCTTATGCTCTAATATGCAAAATTCTCTTAACCATGCTGTAGTGAAATGGCTGGTCACTATTCTTCAACCTTTACACAAAGAGCTAGTAAAACAGTGTGAAAGACGTATTTGAAGTTATCAACAGAACTAAGGATGTTAACTCATGAATAAAACCATGATGTCACTGGATGTAATATCTGTATTCACCAATGTTCCCCTTCTTGAGACAGTCAACTATATAGGTGAACAGTTGGAAGAAAATTCTACCAATTTTGAAATCCCAATAGATGTCCTCAAAGAGTTATAGCTCAAACGTACGATGAATGTTAACTTTAAATTTAACGGTGACCTATGTGGAGAACTGAATGGAGTTGCAATAGGCTCGCCGCGGGGTCTCATATTAGCGGACCTCTTTCTTTTGACACTAGCGAATGGTTTGCTTAGACGATCTGTTAAAGGATGGATGGTACGTTTGTCCTATGTGAAGACTACATGGATAGGTCAAAAATACTCAGCAGATTCAACAGAATACACTCAGAGATGAGATTTACATATGCAGAAGAATTAGAAAGCAAAATAGCTTCTCTTGATGTTCTTCTCTGAAGTTGAACAGATGGGTCAATAAAAAGGAATTTGCCTAAGAAAAGTACGTGGACGGGGCAGTACACACATTTTCTCAACTTCGTCCCCATACAGTACAAACAAAATTTAATAAAAACACTAATTTAAAGAATAAGGGCTACATGTTCGGAGGATATAACTAAGGAGGAACTGAGGACTCTGCAAAACACACTAATTGAAAATGGCTATACTGGTAAATTCATAAAGAAAAATATTACGAGAATAGCACGAAAGGATGTTCCAACGGCTGACAGAAAACTGCTATACATTTGGGTACAATTTAGAGGTGACGTGCTCAGCGAGATATTTATTTACAAACTACGCAGATAATTTCTGAGAATGTTTACTCCGATAAGTGACAAGTCACGTTCTTCACACGTCCAGTAGTGACACTGAGACTGAATAATGAATTACCTAGACTGGCCACTTTCTATTGTGTTCATCAGTTCAACTGCTCCTATGGAGCCAGTTACGTCGGCCGCTGCTGTATTAATTCAGTTTTCAGTGCTGGTTAACACCTTCCAGCGTGGTTAAGTATTGGTGTGGTAAAGACTGTTACCAGCTCCATATTAGCACGCTTGGTTGAAGCGAACTATAAGGGGGATGTGAATGAGTCGTTTTCCATTCTGTACCGGGTTTTCATCAACTTGCCAAAAGGTAACCGGCTTCGAAATCCTGAAGAAGCAGTAGCACTCAGGATCAAACAGCTGGAGTTGTGTTCAAATGAAGCAAGTGTTACCGTTACAACTACTGTGGCCCGATTCGGGACAGAAATTCCCTATCATCTTACCCCAGATAGTCTAATTCCATATTGTAGATATTGCGTTCCTCCCTATAATCTGAAATAATCTTAAATTCTCTTGACCTATTTTGTCCTCTAACATGATTAACATTCTATGAAAGTGTTACTCCTCAAATTGTCCTTCTTAGTTTATTTCATCCATTTCCCCTAAACATCTTTCTATTGTTTCATTAAAATTATCTCCTACGCAGCACAATCGTTTAGATGGTGAATTATTTTGAGTTGAATCCCAGCAACAGTTGGTTCTATCACTAAGGTTCACACAAGACTTTTCTGAATTGACTTTCTCAACGGCATACCATTATTATCAAACTGATAGGCGAAATATTAATATTGTTAGTGTATAACTCCTGAATAGGTAAATATAACTGTAGAACCTGAAGAAGTTATCGATAAGAATATTCTTTACTTCACTCAAATATCTTTTGAATTGTAATCGGAATTTTTTTGGTTAAAACTGACCCTATCGTCTGGATCGACTTATATATTTGACCCCATAATCATTGCGTCGTATTTGGTAGACTAAATTTTGCCTCATTGTATCAGATCGAAAAAGTTTATCTGAGTGATGATTTGTAGGTTTGAACGCCAACTTAATTTCAGCCTGGTTTAGAACACTACCTATAGTGCTTGGTGTTCTTACACGGGCTTGAACTGTGTTTTAGTTGTGTTGTAGTTACTACTTATGGTACTATCATTACTCCTACTTATATATGTTCTTACGAATTTTCTTTGTAAACTCTAGAGAATAATTGCTAAATAGTAGTTTTTCCTTTATCTGTTTCCATTTTTTATTTAAGTCTTCCAATTCACTGTTGAGCTTCGTAGTTCTATCACTAGACCTCAAAAGTT